TGGGCTGGCAGCAATTTTCACAGATCGTGTTGTGTTAAATGCTTTTGAAATGTTCAAGTGCCAATAGGAAACCTTAAAAATGAGCATAAATCATGCAAAAGAGCCTATAACTGTCCTCAGAGACCACACTTGATTCCTCAGGCCTAAACAAAACCTTACTTTTCACATATGTTTATCCTGACACATTTCCTCATGCAGTGGGCATGTGGCAGCCCTGAACATCTTACCAAACCAGCATTCCAACACAGATTTTCTGGGGTCTGCTGTCTCTCTGACCCACTCAGACTCCTAATTGCCAGGCACAAGGACCAGAACCCCGAAGTGATTACAATCACATCAGACACAACACTCAGCCTCCTAAAGAGGGAGGTTCCAGCACTGGCAACTGTCAGGTAACAGTTTTGAGACGAACGTTGTGTTTCTGGCCTTTCTGGTAGCCTGGCAGCTGCACTTGCCATCCATTAGTCAAGACAGACTGACTTGCTAATATCAGGGGACATAAGACAGTCTCTTTTTACGATGACAAGTGGCAGGATGTTGCTGTGAGCAGAACTGTGCAGGCAGGAACGCTTGATAACATATAATTGTCACTGTGGACTGAGGTTACTTATTAAAACTGGCGAAAGGACAACAATGAGCTTTTAATTGGAAGGATCAGAATTGTTCCTGCACTCAGAAATGAACCAGGTCAGAACAGGCAAAAAAGGAAAGGAGAAAAAAAAAAAGTCACCCAACGGGGAAACCTTACAAAGGAAAATGGCAACATTGCTGAGAACAAGAAATGCCAGGACTGTGGGGGAAGAAGTTGCCAAGCTACTGCACAGTCAGCTCAGATTTGTTCAGTGGTGCAGCTGTTTCTTTTCCTTATTTAACAACTATTTTGCCCTTGAAAAACAAAATTTGAAGTAATGGAATCCCAAAGGGCAAGTGCTTGGGCAGGATGTTATTTCAACTAGATGAACTTTAAAGGTCCCTTCCAGCCCAAAATATTCTGGGATCCTGATTCCACATCACTAGGAGGCAAGTCAAGCTTAGGCAGGGCCCACACAGCTCTTTTGCAACAGGTATGAATGGAATTAATAAAAAATTGAAAATAGAAAGAGCAGAGGAGCACCACAGTGCCCACGAATTCACCTTTGACTAACTGCCATTTAGCTATATCCCACCTGCCAACCCATGCCCTTTACAAAGCTGCTTATCTGAGGCTGCATTAGGACTACCTGGTACAATTAAGGAATGGAAAAATTTCACTAGGAGGAAAAAAGAAAAAACCAGCACTAACCACCCAGCTCCACTGCTTCAGTGTGAATACGGTTGGTCAAAGGAAGGAGGCCAAATGCTGCCATACAGCACCATCTCAGGACTGTTCCCTTCAGATCTGGAGCACAACGTGACACTGTGAAGCCAGGCTGGTACCAGAGGGAGGGAGAAGCCTCAAACTGATACCCGAGAAGATGGGGAAAAAAATGGCAGTTAGGATCAATCCTTCCTGGCCAGGGAAAGCTGAGCATTGCAGCTCAAGCTCAGCAGTGCCAGGCTCTGGGAAGAGGCAGTGTGGCTCTGCCTGGACCCTGGCAGAAGCCACAGTGCTGGCTCCAAGACTGGGTCTCTGAGTACTTTCTGATCTGGCTGTCCCCTGAGGGCCCATCTGTCCCCTTGCCTGTCCTCACACTGTGGAGGCCTCCTGACCTTCTCTTCACACTGAACTGACCTTAGCTCTGTAAGGGCAGCATGAGGCTTTGGTCACACTGTTTCACCTCTGCAGTGCAAGTACCTATACAGCATCTGCCCTGCAAGGGCCTTGCTGTAGGGTCCTGGGCTTGGTCATGTTATTCCCAATGTGGTCTGTGCTGAGACACTTGTTCTCTCTCCCTGTTTCTTCTGAGCCAGTACGTAAGCTCATTGCCCACCCAAAGAGGTCACGCTTGGCTTACACATGGCAGGCAGAGAAGTGGATCCCACAGGGGTGCTCACTTGGGAGTGTTTGTTCCCTCCTGCTTTCCCTGGGTTGGTTGTAAAGAGTCTGTGCTAAGAACACAATATCAAATTACAAGGGAAGCTCCAGGTGTTCTCAGGTAAGGAGAAAGAAGGTACATGCACACGTGCTTGTGCATGTACACAAGCGTTCCAACAACCGCCGGTTTTAGTGAGAGCAAATCACTGCACTGGAAGTCACACACGGACTGGAGATTCATGCTGTGCATGTGGCATTGCCTGGTGAGCACATCCACATGCTGAAAGCATTGTCACCAGTTTAGCAGCACAGAAAAAGCATTCCT